AAGCTTCAGTGATTTGAATTAACAGAAACTTTCTGACCTCTTAAGGAAGGTGTTTATTAGATATTCTCCATCTCAAAGGAGGGTATAAGCAACGAAAAAGTTTTAAATTGCAGTAAGAGAGATTTAGTTTTGACAAAATTCTAACTAGAAAAGTAATTAAACACTATAATAAGGTATCATGCAAATTTCTGCCCTCAGGGATGCAAGAATAAGCTGGCTTGGAAGGATTATATACAATTCTTCAGGAAAAACTGGAATGAACTAGAGAATCTCTTAAGCCTGCTTCCAGTTTTAGAATTCCAGGTTCTATACTCACAGCCCAGTAGTGTCTCTGCAAGACATTCCACCTACAGAAAGTTATAGTAATCTACAAGTCATTTCAGTTGGCTTCAGATACTGGGTCTCTTCACCACACCATTTATTCACTTTATGTACTCACTTAGGAACTGAAAATTGACTACTTTTGTTAAGAGGCAGTTCCATCAATCTCCAGCAGCATGGCTGCCAGCTCAGGAATAAACACTACAAAAACGCTTACGCTTAAACTGAAACATACTTCATCCCAAATTAAATAGAAATATCTACATAATGCTCAATGAACTAAGGACTAGGGGGAAAAATCCTTTATAGGGTAGGTAATTTACAAAGTCAAAACATTCAATTTAGTCAGTTCTTCAACGGCTTCTTAAGAAGTTGTTACTGGGGCACCTGGGTGGCTCAGTTGTTAAGCGTCTGCCTTCAGCTCAGGTCATGATACCAGAGTCCTGGGATCGAGCCCCACATCAGGCTCCCCGTTCGGCGGGAGGCCTGCTTCTCCCTCTCCCACTCCCCCTGCTTGTGTTCCCCCTCTCGCTGTCTCTGTGTCAAATAAATAAATAAAATCTTTAAAAAAGAAAAAAGTTATTTGTTACTGACAACAAAAAATACTTTTGAAAACAAAAGCACAGTCTTTCCAAATCAAGTTTCATTTTAGAAAACTTATGGCTTTCATTTTAAAATAATGATTTTTAATTTACCATATTATTTTCTAACAGTTATCAAACAACTGAATGGTGGTTACTTATTAAAACCCACAGCAGGCACTTATGAAGTTACAGTAAAGTTAATCATCTCAAATTCAACAGGTTGGGTGCCTGGGTGGCTCAGTTGGTTAAGCGACTGCCTTCGGCTCAGGTCATGATCCTGGAGTCCCAGGATCGAGACCCACATCGGGCTCCCTGCTCAGCAGGGAGTTTGCTTCTCCCTCTGACCCTCCCCCTCCCTCTCATGTGCTCTCTCTCTCATTCTCTCTCTCAAATAATCTTTAAAAAAAATAAAAAATAAATAAAAATCAACAGGTTAATCACAGCCATTTGAGATTTTGCCCACCTGTATTAGGACTATCTCTAGAGTTTGCAAAATTGGACATTAAATGGCACTTGAAAACAATACATTTCTAGACTATAGATCTCTTAACACACAAATGTTTTGACCAAGTACGCATGCATGACTGTATTTAACTAGTTTTTTTTCTAAGATGCAGAATTTATTTATAAAACATGTTACAGGAAATTCAATTCATAAAACAACCTTTTCAGGCAGAGGTTATCAGAATTTTAAGATTCTTGACAATTATCAAATACCCTTTCAAGTTACTAAACTGCTAAACTTGCTTTTAGGTAGAATGAAATTCTGAGTACCAAGATATCAATTACTCCACTTTTATGTCAGGTGGACAAAGGGAAATTAAAACTAATTACTGTGTTTGTGTGAGTGGTACGATTTGTTGAAGGTCTGTGAACAAATAACATTCGACTGATAATTCAGAGAAAAAAAGTCTTTATCAAATGGATTTATTTCTTTGGGGTGGGTTAGCAGATATGTGATTGTTTTACACAAAACTTTTGGCTAAAGCCACAGAAAGACCTATATTACAGTCTAAAAATATACTTCTATGGCTATTATGATTTATTTAAAATAAAAATCTAATAAGACAAATTTAGCCAGGTCAAAATAGGAATCAAAATATAATACTGGAGCTAACTGCTTTCATGAGAAAGAAAAGAATATCAAGCCTCACTCTCTTCAGTTCACAAGTAATTCTTCATTTTATAATCAAAGACAAAAAATGACTTCTACAGCCAAAAAATTAGGTAATATGGCTCAAAGCTGAATTATCACTTAATTGCCTGGATTCCTAAGAAGCTACTAACTTCTAACTGCTTTAAAACCCGAACCCATCTTTTAATGGCTTATTACTTTGCTTAGAAATGTTATCACACTTTGTTTCATACAGAAATGCTATCTCATTAGAATACATGCTGCTCTGTGCCTTTGAGCTTAATAATTTTTTATTAAGAAATTCAAATAAAATTTTTCTTTTTTTTTCAAATAAAATTTTTCTAATGCAACTATAATTTTTAAGTTTTTTTTCTTATCCACACTGGGCCTCACCTTTCACACCTAAAAGCAAACAATCTTAGATGTTAAACACACACACCTCAAACATATAAAATTCATTACACTGGTTTTGTAGCCATAATAATTATACTAATAAATACTGACTCTAAAGAACTAAAAACTTATAGGGGCAGGGCTTAAGTGGTACGACTCACAAGGGGGTGGGGAGAAATAATGATCCTCCCCTACCAAACTGGCAGCAACAATATGCCAAGTTTCCTATGCTGAACTAGTGTAAACAAGGAAGAAAAAGAGCTGGGGGTAGGAAGTAGGCGGGCAAGAGAATCCTCGTCAAGGTACAGCTTTACTTCTAAATTTCACTAGTGTAATACCTGTTCTCAGTGTTTTCAATAACCACTACCAAGGACTATTTAAACACCATAGGTTGGTGTTCAGAAAACTACTGTAGGCTGTAGTCCCTCTCTTAGATAATCCCAGACATAAAAGATAGAAGTGGGGATCACAAATGCTTCTTCAACTATAAAGACTATCTCCTGCATTGAATGCCTCAAAAAGTTTTCTAGACATCTAGAAATTCAATCCCACTCTTGCTATAACAATCAAGTTTAAAGATAAAATAATGGACCTACCAATGATGCTACAAAAAAAAATTTCACATCTCACCTTTGGTGTGACCACAGCTACAAGTAAGATGAGCATCATTCCAGACAGGACTAGAAGAGGAATGGGATAAAGACTAGGCTTACAGCCTCTTTTTTCTGGCATTGCCTGAGGCATTCAGTGGACGTGGAATAAAGGGGAAGCTGGTTGTAGAAGTGATGCCAAGAGAAACAAGATTCCACATGTCAGGGGGCTGAATGCCCAAACACAGAGAGCAAAGGGCACTCATCCCCTGGCTTTCTGACCAAAGAAAAATGAGTTGTTTCACCTGAAATCCTTTCAAAGGAAGTCTAATGGTCTCTAGTTTATCACTCACCCTAAGTGAACTCAACAGCCCCTCCTCAGAGAACAAGCCCTGCTTATCAAAAATAGCAAGTGCTACATCCAAAGCCAAGAAACACTCCTTTAGTCCAAGTGCCATGGTCTTCTGCCCCAATTCTACAAGGAGACTCCAAGCCAAAAAACTTGATTCCCAGCCTAAGCCAAGTTCTCCATTTTCCCAAACATCCCAAACAACAGAGCTTTATTTCAGATAAGCTCCTCTCCATTCTGGCATTCTGGAGTCCAGGACTCCAGGCCCCTCCAAAAGTTCCGTCCTCCAAGATAATCTCATTCCCTTCACTTTTCCTAAGGATTTTCCAGACCCTGCCCCAGGTCTAGCACTCTCCGTCCTCCGTTAGGAGATCTACTAGTAGATCCCACTCCTCCCTGGCACAACTCTTCGGAAAGTCATCTCTCTTACGGTACTCACTTGTCCTCCCCCATCATATTTTTTTTCCTTTTTCCCTGTCCTCGAAAAGAAACACACACACACACACACACACACACACACAATATCTGTTCTCAGCTCCTAACTCCCAAGTCTCTCCCGTGCCCCAGGTCCTTCCACAACACCTAATTCTCTCCCGGAGTTCCCCCCTCATCCCTGTCTTCCTCAACCCCAACTCCATACCCCAGGCTTTTTTCCCCACTCCCCAAATTCAGATTTCCTGTGCTGTTTACTCTTAACCAACACCACAGCCCTCTTGCTCCCAAGTCTACCCCCATGCCTCGATACTCAAGTCTTTCCCCTCTTCCCACGTTTCTCGGCCCCTAATTCTCTGCAGAACCTCAGGAGCCCCTCCCCAATCTCTCTTCCGCCCCTCGTGCACTCCGTGGCCCCCCACTCCCCTCGTAGGTCCTCTCTAGCCTTGCTCACCCCCCAAATTTCCCCCATGTCCCTGAGGCTCCCCCACACGCCCTCCACGCCCCGGGAAGGGGGTGCCCCTCAGTGCCCGCCCGGCCCGCCCTGCCGCCGGGCTCGGGTGTCCCTTCCCTTCCCCGCGGGCCCCAGTGCTGGCGCGGCGGGGCCGGCTCACCAGTTGGTCATGTCCAGGAAGAAGGCGCAGCCGGCCGGGTTGAGCTGGAAGCCGAGCAGCCGCTGGAACTCGGAGATGAGCACGTCCTTGTCGGTGGTGCCCAAGCAGCTGAACTTCTGCATCAGCTCGGGGTCCAGGTCCACGTCCATGCCCTCCATGGCTGGGGCCGGACGCCCGCTTCCCCGCCTCCTCAAAACCGAGCCGCCGCCGCCGCGCCGCCGGGCCCGGGGACCGGGAGGGGGCCCGCTGCTAGCTGGCGCCGCGACCCCGCTCCTTTGAGGTAGGCCCCGGGCCTCTCACCGCCTCATAGGGATAAACTCACTCGGCCACTCACTCACTCTCTCGCTCCCCCCCCTCCCACCCCCCCCAGCGCCGCCGCCTCCGCCGCCGCCGCCGCCGCCTCTCGCTTCTCCGCCGCCTCCGCCTCCTCCCGCGCCGCGCCCACTGCGCAAGCGCCGCCCGCCTGCGCCCCGCCCCTTCCTCTCCTGGAGCCCCGCCCCTCAGTGGCGTCACAAACCCGTGACGTCCCCCGCGTGACCTCACCGCGGTGGAGCGAGGGGGCGGGTAGTGGGAAGGAGGAAAGGGACGGCCGGGTGGTTGGGGTGACTCCTGGCCTGACCTTCTCCTCGCCCCGCCCCCACACTCAAGGGGAGGAGTCAAAGCTCGGGGTCTTGGGAGAAGCTCCGGGATCTCGGTCTACGGCAACTTCATTTTGCAGGTGAGAAATCAAGTCTGAGAGAAGAGACTAGGGCAAGGTCAAGTACCACAGTGCACGCAGAACACAGTCTTCTTAGCCGGGGGTTTGCCCCTCGCCCTGGAAGGAGGGCTTTTTGCATAAGTTTTAAGAGCTGCTTTCCTGGATCGATAGTGCCATGAATCCTTGGTTCCCAGCCACCCTTCATAATGGTTACTACAATTTATCAGTGTTGTTTCTGTTATGCAACAGTAGTATCAAGTCTCTGGAAAGTAAGGGAGGCCTGGATACGAACATCAATCACAGATCCAGACAGCAACACACATAATCTCCCACCCATTTGGTCAGGACCAACCCTCTCAAAATAAAGGTTAAGTCACGAGAATTTGGCATACCTCCTGTTTTAAAATAGAAAACAAAATATTGCTGTGCATATGGTACACCTGCCTGGTCAAGGCCCCATTTCAATATCAAAGAAAGAAACGCAGTATAGGGACCATCTTGTCTACCCCCTTGCATTCCTATTTGCCCAACACCGCTACATCCAACAGAGGAAATGAGTAAGAAATGGCCTTCTGCCTTCACATAGCTCTCTGTTTTACAAATAAGGAAAGTGAGATCCAGAAAGCTTTTATGTCTTGTCCAAAAATATAGAGCAGTAAAACTGAACCCACTTTTCAGATTCTTAATGGGGTATGTTTTCCATAACAATTTCAACAGCAGACAGCACTAGGATAAGTAACCAATAGTGTCTGGGTTGCTAGAAGATTTTAGAAAGGGAAAGCATTTTACCTCCTCCTGTCCCAGTACCAAATAAGACAATAAAATATAATGGCTTTAAAAGCCTGGGTTCTGGGTCATACACATTTAGGATTCAAATTCTCATTCTGCCAATTCTTGGTAATCACAATGCCTGCTTGGATAGGATTGCTGTGAGAATTAAATGAGATAAAATATGTAAGCTCAATACAGTGCCTATTCCATAAAAAACACTTCAAGAAATGATAACTATTGTGGCCACAAACATAAGATGATTATGGGAATAGACAATGGTACTAGTAGCCCAGGTCATTTCTTCACCTGGCTTCCCTTCTACTTCATTTCCCTTCCTTGTCCTCTATTAAAATATGGAATGTATGCCCTTTCTCTTCTCCAGTGATTTTTTTTCCGTCCAACGTGACTATCTTATGGGAGACAACTGTAACAGCATACAGGTATAATACTTACAAACTCATACTCTACAGTAGTTATAAACATTTTATAACAAACTGGTCTTACACCTCTAACACCTGTGCGGAAGCTTAGATCATTGCCAGGGCCTAATTTTTGGGTGGCCACAATGTTGCAATATTTTACTAACATTAAGGAAAATTTTGTCTCAGAGGTGAACACATGTTGTCCCAATCTTATGGATGATGGAATGGGGACACAGATTATAAAAAATCCCGATATTAGACCTGAAAGAAACAGACCGTCGAGCCCAACCTCCCCATTTTACATATGAAGAAATTGAAACCAAGAGAGGGTAACTGATCACCCAAGATGACACGCTAGTAAGGATCTCTAAACTCCCAGTCTAGCACTCTATCCACTATATTCTGCTACAGTTCCCCTTATGGTTTGAGTTCAATTTGGCCTTACCTACATAATAATCAGAAATTGATTTTAGGGACACCTGGGTGGGTCAGTCGTTTAAACGTCTGCCTTGGCTCAGGTCATGATTTCAGGGTCCTGGGATCGAGCCGCGTATCGGGCTCCTTGCTCAGCCTGCTTCTTCTGCCTGCTGCTCCCCTTGCTTGTGCTCTCTCTCTCTGGCAAATAAATAAATAAAATCTTAAAAAAAAGAAATTGATTTTAGTCTATTGACTAAAACTAAGTTAACTTGCAACACCCATGGATTAAAGTTGTGTTGACCAAGAATCCAAGAGAAGAAAATGTTATTGGAACCTGACAACTCTATTAGAATGCTGACCCAAGAGAAACAACTTTTGGCCAACCCCATGCACTACGAGGGGTATACTAGCTCACACATAAACAGCCTACATAATGCAAAGAGATCCTTGCAAATAAGAGACCCAAGTGGCTGAGAACTTCGGTTCATGGCAGAAGTTATATCAAAGGAGTGCAACTACTCCTCAAGTGAATTCTGAAACATCATGGGGATATTTTTGTTCTCATGAGATTGGAAGTGGTACCGTAGCCATTAATTCCTTGAGGACCAAGGATGCTTAACGTCTGCAATTCTTGGCATGGTCACCCACAATAAAGAGCTGACCATTCTGATCCACTATGCAAAAACACTGACCAAGGTGGCTGGCACATTAGGTATGAAGGAACTACCAACCGCTCCATCCTCCATTGAATGATTCTCTCATGGGAATGTGAGTTTCCGCTTGAATCTGAGGGGTTATTAACACATATGGTTCTGCTGTAATGGCTCTGCAGTTTTGTTTTGTTTTGTTTTGTTTTGTCGGGAAGAAGGCATGGAGAAGGACCGGTTGAGAGACAAAGGGACAAATTGCTGAGCACCACCCTAAGGAAGAAAAGCTGATGGCAATATTCCAAAAGGGCTTCTAGGTATTATCTCAAAACAATGTTAGGAACTATGCCTGGAGATGCCACTGCCTGGAATATGCCCAAGACCAGCCAGTTTCTTTCTGAATTTCTTGGGCTGGTGATCTCGTATAAGAAATTTAAATGAATCCCAAATCTCCAGACCAGGTTAGTTTCAAAGTTTCTTTAAGGAGTTAAGCCATTCTACCACTGGAAGTTGAAAGTCTAGGAGAAAAGTGATTCATCTTACCAAGGCAGCTGAGATTGCCTGCAGATCTCTAAGTCCTTAAGATTCAGAATTGCCAAGACCAGTTAGTACTAAGATTATACTACAGCATAACTGATTAAGAGAACAGAGTCCAAATAGACATTAGGGTACATTATATGATAACAGCAACTTATAGTAGAAAGCTTTTATATATCCAAACTGTGATGACCTCCTTTTCTGCAAACCATTAATGACCCTCTGTGTGGCCTCCAGCAGCCATGTCTGCCCTACGTGGCCCTGTCCCTTAGCCCCCATTGATTGGACAAGAGGGAGATGCTTGACTTGGGATCAGCCAATCAGATTCTCTCTCTCTCTCTCTCAGGAATTTGGAACTGAACTCAATGAGTTTGTGGAACAGGCCAGGGCTGTTTACTTGAAAGTGATAGAAATACAGAAAAGGGACCATCTTTGTGGGGCACCCATGAAAACGAGATAATGCCCATCTGCAGAAAGAGAGAAACAGAGAAAAACAAACAAAAATAAGAAACCTGATGGCATGGGAGAGAGAAGTTCCTGTCATCCTGAGTTCTGGTTATTGAGCTTCCTTTAGATTCCATGAAAATCTCCAGGTTCCATTCAAAATAATTCATCTCTTAGATGAAGTAAAAAAAGAATCAAGTTCTTTTTTAAAAAATTAAAAAATAAATACAGTATTTGATTTCTAATTAGGGATGGACATCCTTCCCTTAAAAATAATGAAAACTTGGGGCTCAGTCGGTAGAGCATGCAACTCTTGATCTCAGGATCATGAGTTCAAGCCCACATTGGGTATAGAGATTGCTAAAAAAAATAAATAAATAAACTTAAAAAAATAATGGGGGCACCTGGGCGACTCAATCAGTTAAGCATCCAACTCTTGATTTCAGCTCAGGTCAGGTCATGATGTCAGGGTGGTGAGATCCCAATGGGTTCCGTGCTCAGCAGTGAGTCTGCTTAAGATTCTCTCTCTGCCTCTTCCTCTGCCCCCACTCCCCCTACCCTTACCACCCCACCCTGCGCCCACCCACCATTCGCACATTTTCTCTCTCTCTCAAATAAATGAATCTTTAAAAGAAATAATGAAAACTCCTGTAGGAAAAAAAAATGGGGACACAAAAAGGCAATTCACAGAAGAAGAAATACAAATGGCCAATAAACATATTAAAAGATGTATTATGCTATTCATAGTTAAAGAAATGGATTAAAACAACAAGCCTCACTTTTTCCTAATCAGATTGTCAACACTTTATAACATAACAGCTTTTGTTGGCAAGAGTATGGAGAAACAGGTCCTCTCAAACACCACTGCTTCTAGGAATGTAAACTGATATAATTTTTCTAAAGGTGAGTAGATGTGAATTTAGATGAATTGATATGAGTTACCTTCATAATATATATATTTATATGTATATAAATATATATATAGCTCCCAAGTCCCCCAAATAAGCTTTTCATTAGAAGTATAATATAGGGGCACCTGGGTGGCTCAGTTGGTTAAGCGACTGCCTTCGGCTCAGGTCATGATCTCAGGGTCCTGGGATCGAGCCCCGCATCGGGCTCCCTGCTCAGCGGGAAGCCTGCTTCTCCCTCTCCCACTCCCCCTGCTTGTGTTCCCTCTCTCGCTGTTTCTCTCTCTGTCAAATAAATAAACAAAATCTTTAAAAAAAAAAAGTATAATATATATAATAGTAAAAAGTTGGAAAGAGCCCAAATGTCCACCAATAGGGAAACTGTTGAAAAAAAAATGTGGGCGGGGGTGGAGTCATTCTTTTCACCAATATAATTTTACATGAATCTATGACCAAAAAAGTAAGGAATTAGAAACTTGAATGAATATTTTAACAATCTTAGAAGAAATCTCCAATTATGAAATGAAGAAAAGGCCAATAGTTTTGCCTGTATAAAAAATTTAAAACCTCAGGTGCCTGGGTGGCTCAGATGGTTAAGCGTCTGCCTTTGGCTCAGGTCATGATCCCAGGGTCCTGGGATCGAGTCCCGCATCAGGCTCCCTGCTCCTTGGGAGCCTGCTTCTCCCTCTGCTTCTCTCTCTCTCTCTCTCCCCCTCTCTCTCTCCCTCTGTCTCTCATGAATAAATAAATAAAATCTTTAAAAAAAAATTTAAAACCTCTTTGCTGCAAAAGTTAAAAAATAAAATTAAAAAACACCATAAGCATGGTCAAAAGACAAACAGATAATTCAAGGACAATATTTGTAACACACAGGA